GTATAATCACAGCCTGTTATTCACCACCACAGCTGATCTGTCTTTGGTTAAGATTCAGTCCTCGTCCCCTCCACTGACTCGTCTCCGTCCTCTCCGTCCTTCTTCACCCTCAGGTAAACCAAACGTGGTGGAGCCGGTTCAGGACGACCCCACCTACAACGTCAGCAGCGAGCTGACTCTGGAGGTGAACCGCCACGACGACGGCGCCCTGGTCACCTGCGCCGTCGACCATCCCTCCCTGGCACCGGGCGACAAGAGGAGCGAGCAGGCTCTGAGGGTGCTGTGTAAGTCCGCACGTCATCGCACGTCATCGCACGTCATCGCACGTCATCGCACGTCATCGCACGAGATAATGACAAAAAAAAAGAATTTCAACTGAGAAATTATTATTCAGAAGTTAAAGGGAAAAAAATACGATTTTTAATTAGTTTAGAAAGTATGATTCAATTTGAATAAATAATTGAATCAAAAATATGGGTAACGATACGTGGCAGATGCTAAACGTTAGCCAACGTAGCGAGTTAGCTAAAAATGTTAAAAACATTTACATACTGTTGAATGAAGCTAACAGATTTATTTCACTGTAGAATAGTCAAAAAAGATGAAAGAAAATTTAATCTTTTGACCTAAAAACTGTTTTTTTTTTTTTGTTGAACTGTTGAACAGTGACTAAAACAGTTCTTTTCCTGTAGCAGGAACTGAGAACTGATGTTCCTTTTCACCTGAGCTCAGTTCCTGTCACCAATTCGACGACTCCTCCAGGAACGCCACCATTTTTGAGTCATTTAAAAAAAAAAAAAAAAAAGGTCAAGTCCGAGTTTACCTGAATAAAAGTCAAAGAAATTGGATTTGAGATTTTATTGGATCTACGTAGTTTCTCCCTCCTCCTCTTCCTCCTCCTTCTCCTTCTCCTTCTCCTCCTCCTCCTCCTCCTCCTCTACAAGAAGTGAATGTTATCGTTTAAAGAACAGCTAAAAAAGAAAAAGAAAAAAAGAAAAGTGCAGTTGGTTATGACTCTGGGGTGGTGCTGCCACCCTGTGGTAGGACCTGGGTACTGCAGGATGATGTAGGTGAAGGTGTGTGTCTTTGTGATGGTGACGTCTGTGTGTGTGTGTGTGTGTGTGTGTGTGTTTTATAGACGCCCCCAACGTGGAGATCCAGCCTGGTGGTGATTTGCCCAGAGAGGGGGAGAACTTTTACCTGCGATGTGTTGGAAACAGCAACCCAGAGTAAGTACACACACACACACACACACACACACACACACACCTACACCTGTGTGTGGTCGACTCTAAGACGAGAAAGTCTTTGACCAATCAGTGCATGCTGCGATAATCCAGGATTAGGACTAGGACTAGGACATCAGCAGTCCTGCACCAGACCTGTTACACACACACACACACACACATATACTGGTGCAGGTGTAACACTGAGACACTGTGAAATGAACTGTTTTGTTAAATTAAAAAAAAAGAGAAAAAAAAAGTCCTGAAACATTTTACTGCTGATTCAAGGATCATTCCAGGATTTCCAGACAGATGGCGCTACAACCACAGCTGTGTTTTTCAGACCAGTGTGGAATAAACGTGAACTGCACCTTTAACTCCTCCTCACCTCTGTGTCAGTGAGTCAGAGATTAGACCTAATCCCTGACCTGGACCAATCAGCAGTGTCCTGCAGGACCAACACACACACACACACACACAGATACAGAAATATATACATATATTTAGAGGTGATTAGGAGCTAGCATGCTAACCGTTAGCAGCGACACTAGTCTCCCTCCATTACAGATGAACCTCCACACGCTGCTCTATCGATCCACTCTGCTGCTCCTCCTCCTCCTCTTCGTCTTTTCCTCCCCTCTGTCCTCCCCTCTGTCCTCCCCTCTGTCCTCCCCTCTGTCCTCCCCCCTGTCCTCCCCTCTGTCCTCCCTCCACCGTCTCTATCACACACACCTTGTGTCACCCCCAGCTCCCTCTCTCTCTCTCTCTCCCTCTCTCTCTCGTCTTGTCACGACGTCTCCCTGCCCTACCCATCATCCCACTCTCCTCCCCGTCCTTCACCATTACTCTCCTCTATCTCTGCTCACACCTTTTC